GAGAAAATGGTGACCTTTTTAAAGCAGGACTGAATGGAGCTTCGTTCGCCGGTTATGACTTTGTGCACTTTGTGTGTAGTGCACGATTGCTTTTGTGCGAGCCACATGTGTGTGTAATAGAGAGCATCTTGTGTGCACATGCTTGATGTTGTTTGTGCATCTGAGTGAAGTTTATTTCAACTTAAGACAAATGGAAACGGACTGTGGGGGCGTGTAACATAGCCACAAGAAATTTTTGAAATAAATAGTTATTAATGTTTGTAAATATTATAACATGGACGTCTGGGATACTTGATTCTGATTGGTCAGTCATGGAAATCTAAGCTATGTTATTCTCAAATATGATCTGCTGAATTTAATAACACAGACTTATCTGGGTACTTTTCTATCATCTTGACCGTCAGTGAATACATTCACATCCATATACATACCTCCACTTACAGATTTATATTTTTATCATATTCATATTATTTTACAAAATAAACTGAATAAAGTAAGGGATAAAGTTCATTCAAATGCTTCTTTATAGAATAAACCCTCTTCAGTCTTCTACTTTAACGATACGCCTGTTGTGTTTTATTCTGCGAAACAACCACCTGGATATACTTAATCTCTTACTTAGTACAGTTTATTAATATTTAATAAAAAAATTAATCATTATTTTAACAATATTGTCAATTTAATATGTTAATTAAGTTAATTAGTTTTGAAAAAAATTAAACAATTAATTAAATAGAGAAAAATATCAGCTAAAATATTAACTTTTCTTTTAAAAAATCATAACTCAATACCTTGATACTGAATTGAAAAAACTGATTATTATAATTATTATATTGAGGTAAAACATAGTTTCATCATTGACACCACAGAGTCCTGATAAATGTAAAACAAGAATAAATAAAAAAATCTGATTTAATTACGATTCAAATGACTGGATAGCATTACAAACCTCTAACAGTTATTGATTGTGACAGCATTTTAAATTCATTAGCTGAAGAACCACTTTTGATTTGCACTGATTACAAGATATACAGTTCATCCTTATTACAAAATGGATTAATTTTATTTATTTCCTCAAAATTCTACACACAATACACCATAATGACAATGGGAAAAATTTTTTTTTAATTGTTGCAAATTTATAAAAATTAAAAAAAAAACTGAAAAATCGCATGTACGTAAGTATTCACACAGCCTTTGCTCAGTACTTTGTTGATGTACCTTTGGCAGCAGTTAGAGCCTCAAGTCTTTTTAAATATGATGCCACAAGCTTGGCACACCTGTCTTTGGGAATTTTTGCTCATTCCTCTTTAAAGTACCTCTCAAGCTCTATCAGGTTGGATGGGAAGCGATGGTATACAGCCATTTTCAGATCTCTCCAGAGATGTTCAATAGGATTTAGGTCTGGGCTCTGGCTGGGCCACTCAAGGATATTCACAGTGTTGTTGTGAAGCCACTCCATTGATATTTTGGCGGTGTGTTTTGGGTCATTGTTGCTGCTGGAAGATGAATCGTCACCCCAGTCTGAGGTCAAGAGCACTCTAAAGCAGGTTTTCATTAAGAATGTCTCTGTACTTTGCTGAATTCATCTTTCCCTCTATCCTGACTAGTCTTCCAGTTCCTGCTGCTGAAAAACATCCCCACAGCATGATGCTGCCACCACCATGCTTGACTGTAGGGATGGTATTAGCCTGATAATGAGCGGTGTCTGGTTTTCTTTAAATGTAACGCCTGGCATTCACTCAAAGAGTTCAATTTTAGTCTCATTTTAGACAATTTTAGTCTCATCAGACAAGAGAAGTTTGTTTCTTATGGTCTGAGAGTCCTATAGATGCCTTTTGGCATCATCACTTGCCACTCTACCATACAGGCCTGATTGGTGGATTGCTTCACAGATGGTTTTCCTTCTTTAAGGTTCTCCTCTCTCCACAGAAGAACGCTGGAGCTCAGACAGAGTGACCATCAAGTTATTGATCACTTTCCTGAGTAAGGCCCTTCTACCCCGATCACTCAACTTAGATGGGCGGCCAACTCTAGGAAGAGTCCTGGTTGTTCCAAACATCTTCCACTTATGGATGCTGGAGGCCACTGTGCTCATTGGAACTTTCAGAGCAGCAGAAATTTTTCTGTTACCTTCCCCAGCCTTGTGCCTCGAGACAATCCTGTCTCAGAGGTCTACAGACAATTCTTTTGTCTTTATGCTTGGTTTGTGCTTTGACATGCGCTGACAAGACAGGAGTATGCCTTTTCAAATCATGTCCAATCAACTGAATTTACCACAGGTGAACTCTAATTAAGCTGCTGAAACAGCTCAAAAAATGATCAGCGGAAACAGAATGTACCTGAGCTCAATTTAGAGCTCCACAGCAAAGGCTGTGAATTCTGTGATTTTGTGATTTGTGATTGATGTGATTTTCAGCTTTTTTTATATTAATAAATTTGCAACAATTTAAAAAATATATTTTTTCACGTTGTCATTATGGGCCATTGTGTGTAGAATTTTGAGAAAATAAATGAATTTAATCCATTTTGGAAAAGGCCTTAACATAGAAAAATGTGGAAAAAGTGAAGCACTATAAATACTTTCCGGATGCAATTTGTGTGTATATATATATATATATATATATATATATATATATATATATATATATATATATATATATATATATATATATATATATATATAGTTGTAATAAACCCATTAACACACCAGGGTTTTTCCAATGACTTTCCTAAAAGAGGTTAAAGGAATACTGGAAACTAGGTTAAAAAAGGTTGCTCACTAAAACAAAAGTCTCCATCCTCTTATTTTTTATGATATTAGTCCCAAATATGGTCTGGTTTTCTCTATTGGGATTTTAAAAATGTCTTATGATGCACCAGTTTAAAAAGGTTATGTAATAGGTCACCTGTTTTTTTTTTTTTTTTTTTTTTTTAAACACCCTTTAAAGTATAAGCATAAACTTTTTTTTAAAACCCTTCACAATCATATTTGCAGTGCTCACCCTAACAAACATTAATTTATATAAATTGTCAATGTGAATGACACAAATCATGTGTCAGGTTACAAGCCTTGTGTTTTTGTGTGATTGCTTCTAGTTGAGAGGCTCATAAGCATCACCCAGCTTCACTTGACCCGGTGGCAACACACATACACACACACACATACACACTCAACTCAATAAGGAATACATTAGTCCTATTTCAAGTGACTCTTCCCCTTTCTCAGCAAACACATTTATTTTCTATTAAAGCCTGATCTGCAGAGCTGGCAGCCAAGTAGCCGCCAGAGTTTATTACCATAAAGATTAGAACAGAGCTCTTAACACACAGGTGAACACGCACATTCACTCAGTCCCACTCAATCCCACATGTATGTGTGTATGTCAGTGTGTGAACATGCACTTTTATTTCCCACTTGTTGAAAGGCTCTCTGTGGATCTATTCGATTCTGCATCTGCACAGCTGTTCAATATCTTAGAAAATTTAAAAACAAAGTTAACCTAAAAGTAAACATTGTGACATATATTTTTTTACATATAATATTTGTCTTGTTTTATAATGAATAACATTAAACATTCTAATCACTAAACATTGTTAAAACTAAAGGCATTTACATTACAAGCAAAACTACATTATAAATCAAGTCTTCTTTTAGATTAAAACATTTTAAGAATTGTAATGTTTAAAACCTCTTACTTATACACAAAAGATACATTATCACAATGCTTTCCATTTAAAAGCGAGTGCAGACGAGGCTGCTAATCTCCTAAATGGGACAAGCAACACCATAAATATAGCATATACATTTTGCTGTAATAAAGTAGCTTGGAAAGTAATCAGATTACTTTGTGTTGATCAGACCTGTCATGAAAATATGTTTCTATGAAAATCGTATTTGACATCAGTGATATAAATATAACATAAAAACCAGTATGGACATTCTTAAAAATTCATAGGTCAAACATACGGTGATTCATTTGATCTTATATAAAAATTTTATGTCTATGTTTCAAATTCTGTAACTTATATCGGAGTAACTTTTTGTGTTACAGATATATTAATGTATATAAAAAAAATAAACGGCATGCTTTCATGCACTTATTAGTAGGGCCAGACGGAATCTGTAGGCATTTTTTGCTATTTCTGCGCAGAACTTTTTGTTAAAAACCTGCGGATTTATACGGAATGATTTTGGGAGTATCAAAACTAAAACCTTTATATATGAACTAAAAAGTAATACATTTTTAACTTGTATTTAATGTTTACATTGCAAATCCAATTAGATCCAGTTTAATTGGTAAACAAATAAATTCTATATAATATATCTACTAAAAGACAGAAAATATTACTTTACAAAACTATTGGATATAAGCTATATGAACATTTTATATTAGTCAATAATTATACTGAAATTATTTTAAAAACTGAATAAATATAAATTTACACACATTTACACAAGTAAATAAACAGAATCAATGATGGGCTAAAAATCTGCGGAATTCTGCAAGCGCAGATTCCGTCTGGGCCTACTTATTGGTTAAGTAAAACAACACGCTGACCTGTACTTATTAAAATGTATCAATCAAAAGGTGTTCCTGCTAAAACTTTATTATATTATATATAAAAGCTAATTAAAATAACTGTCATTGCATTAACAATTGTCAAAGCACTTACAGTACATATCTCTTGCTCTTTTCCTTGTTTGATTGCTCCTATTGTTCTCATTTATTAGTCACATTAGATAAAGACATCTGCTAAATGATACAGTTTACAATAAATGTAAATTTACATGGGTAAAATCTAGTGGTTTGAAGACTAGTGGCAAAATATAAAGATTAAACATGGCAATTAATTAGTATTTGGTGGCTGCACCATGATTCTCAAATAGAGTCTTTTAGTATGTCATCTTTAATTTTCATTTTTGGGGAACTATTTCTTTAATGCTCTCCTCCTCACCTCTTTTTTGTTCACCTTTCTCCTCTGTTTCTCATCCCCAGGGTTCAGCTCCTCACCAATGGGTTTATGGTCTGAAGACGAGCAGCACTCATCTCTTTCACATCCTTTGTAGGTCAGTTCCTATTTTTACTCGTTTTCTTCCCCTATTTTTTTTTGTGCAAGGACACCCATTGTTGTCGCCCGACACAAGCAAAGTCTGTCGTATTGGTAAACAAATCAATTACTCTTTCACAATGGCTGCGATGTGCTCATCAAAGACACATTATCACTCTGTGCCGTATTGTTGTCATCATGACACCTCTAATCATGGTTATCATAGGCTAGTAGTTTCCATGGCTACACTATAGCAGTCAGCCAATGAAGTGCCCTATCCCAGGCCACCACAGCTGCCATCAGCCAATTGTAGCGCCCTAAGAAAGACTTACTACAGTAAGTGCTCAGTTCGGATCTTAACCTTTGAGATTGAGAGCAAAAGGAGTTTTTACAGCTACTGTTACTTTACATTGTTTCTGTTTTCTATATATTACATATTTGAGGGTATTACATAACAAACACTAGAATGCACAAAAATTTTAAATATCTGATCATTTTTAGCAGATAAAAACATGCACATAAGCTTTAATTGAAACTGATTTACTGAGGAAATTCAACTGATGATGGGATAACTAGACTAACCTTTGGACCAATGGACCAAGTGGTTTCCTTGTTTCCATAAACATTAAATTTCTAATATAAGTCAAATTAGTTTACCTCAAAATGACAAATGTCATAATTTATTGACCTTTGTGTCATTCGGTATCTATTCTATTTCTATTTACTTTAATTTTATTGAGTCTTGTAATATGTTCCATAAGAAAATGTCTGGTACATATAAAGAGGAGATTGTTTTCTACAGTCGATTCCAAATCTATTAGAAAATTTTTATTTTCCATATTTTTCAATCTATTTTACACAAATTAAAATATTTTAAATTAAATATGTAATCTCAACTCTCTTCATCTAGTTCTTCAACAATTCAGAAGATAAATTCAAATGTTTTTCTGAAGAGGCTCAATCAATTTTGAGATGGACCGCTTTTACCATTTATGCACATACAGTATAAGCATTGATCACAAACATTGGTTTGTAATGACATGAGGGTTTGTTTGTTTCTTTTATTTATTTATAGTGCACATTTAAAAATAACAATGTTGGCCAAAAAGCTTTTTAAAAAACAACCAACATACAAAATCTATACTTATAACTTAAACAAAATATGTAAAACCAATTAAAATTAATTCATTACAATCAAAAGCAAGAGACAGAAGATGATTTTGTTGAATGAGTCTTTTAAAAAATGATCTGATATGTAAAGGCAGATCATTTCACAGATGAGGGGCCGTGACAGAAAAAACCCTGTCTCCTTTTGATTTTAACCATGATTTGGTAACATCTAGCTGATACAGGTTTTCCGACCTCATTGGCCTCAATGAAGTATGCCAGTTAAGAAGCTCACCAATGTAAGTAGGTGCCAGACCATTCAAACCTTTAAAAACAAATGACAATAACTCGTTTTGAATTCTAAATTGAACTGGGAACCTTTAAATGGAGGATAAAACTGGTGAGAGACTAGAATTTTGTTTTGTTGCAGTTAAAAGCCCAGCGGCTGCATTTTAAGCCAGCTACAGGCGTACAATTGAAGCATGTGAAACTCCTGAATACAGAAGGCCAATCTGGACATAATAAAAAATGTTGATGGTAGTTTTCAACTCCTTAAAAGACAGAAAAGACTTTAGTTTATCAATGTTTCTTAATTGATAGAAACCACTTTTGACGACTGGATTTATTTGCTTGTCAAACTTAGTGTCAAAAATAACTCCAAGACTTTTTGCGTGATTATGGACCTTAGGTTTAAACGAACCTAGTTAATTAATTCTAATGACACAAGGGTGAATAAATGAAGAGGATTTTTCACTGTGGGGTCAATCAGCTCTTTAAATGTTTTTATCTATTTTTGTTTACAGTCTTCTGAAGTCAGAACTCCAGTAACCTATTAAAATTGCACCCTAAAACGTGGTTGCATTTGTTCTCGCAATGAGTTGGTTGGCTTTTTTTCGGTTGAGGAGGTGTAGTGATTATACAGAGAGCAGGGTCATGGTTATCAGAATAAATGGAGAGCAAGAGAAGTAGAAAAAGAGAGAGACTGAGATGGAGAGCGAGGACAGGGCCACAGGGAGGGGGCACAGGGCCAGCTGGAGGGCCAGGCTGTGTGCTTTGTGTGTTTGCAGCAACAATGCAGGGCAGCTGAGAGTTGCCCCATGACCGTTTCTCTGAGGGCAGCCTGTACCCTGTCCACACACACACACACACACACACACACACACACACACACACACACACACACACACACACGGGTCACTGCAGAGCTACTCAGCTGCTGATGCAGTCAACTGGAAACAGCCACACTCCTAAAATCAGATTGTTTTTTTTTCTTTCCTGTCAAATACACTCAAGTGCATGCTTCGCAGACCTTCATATTAAATGACATATGGGTTTTCTGTTGACACTGTCCAGGAAAGATAGCCAAGCTCGGAGAATGACAGGAATGTGTGTGTTTTTAAAGGAGCCATAATCATAAATTATTTTATCATTTTATCATCCTTTCCCCTTGAGGTATGCGTATAATGTCATAATCACACTCTAAATCATGGCATTATTATAATTAATTAAAAATTATTACTGGCCACTGGTCAGAAACTGTTTTATACGGTGCCAATGCAGATTCTTACTTGAATATGGCACTTTGGCGTGTATATGTGTATATATAATATCTTCTTTATTAACTTAAAATGTGCTGCTAATACTCTTGAGAAGGAAAAGTTCTGCCTATTCTTTAACTTATTTAATTTATTGGGTCAAGTATTGTTTAAAGGGCACCTATTTTACACCTTTTTCTAAATTTAAGGTAAGTCTTTAATGTCTCCAGAATGTGTCTGTAAAGTTTCAGCTCAAAACACCCATCAGATTATTTTATTTCAGAAGTTTGTAATTTTCAGCTCTGAGCATCTTGTAGCTGTTTTTGTTGCATGTGCCTTTTAATGCTAGTTCTCCCTACCCACCGTTTTCACTTGCCTGGTAGAGTGTGCCTCAATCTCCGCCTTGGCTGTGTCAGATAAACAGCTCAGTGACAGACATGAAGGAAGCAAATGTAACATTTTGTAAAAAATACTACAGTAAGAACCTTCCCAATGATTATTTGATGTATTTGTTGTGGAATTAGTTTAAGCCTTTCGATTAGTCACACACAATGTTGTTACAAAGTTCACACACACTAGCTATGTTTCCATCCAGCTATTTTTATGCACATTTTGGATATGCACATGAAAAACCGTTTGAAAACCGGTTGAAATTTTGAAAATGCGCAAGAAATAAACGCAAAACTAAGTAGGATAAACTTTTTATTCGATAAGAAAAGATTTGCACTTTTACAGAACAAATTCCAGTATGTGCATTAAAAAAGGCCATGTGATTTTGTTATAGGAGATCATGTGATGATAAAAATGTGTGCGAATGGACAAACCAGCTGGCTGAGCACACTGTAAAACATCTAAAACGTTGTTTTTGTCATTCTAAGACGCCTCCGCATCTCATGCCTTCAAATGCCATGACAAACGTGTTCACTGCGTGTCAGGATTGCCGTCTGAGGCGCAAGTCAATAAATGAAGAAAAGATTCACGCAGCTTCTCCTACCGCAGCATATTTAGTTTTTACTGTTGATATTTGGCGCCAGATAATCGTAAAGTAATTGTTTTGTTCCCTTTGACTCGTTAGATGGAAACTCTGCTTTATTTGCACGTCTTTCATTCAATAGGAAACATAGCTACAGACAAGCACACTCATACACACACACACTCTGTGTGCATGTTTAACTTTGCACTGTTTTTGCAAATGTGACAGCATACATGTTAATATCCACTGCTGTATGGATATTGTGTATGTTAATTTGCAAAATAAACCTGATTTAATGTCCACAAACCATGATTGAAGCATCTTCTTTTATAATTGTACTGGCATGAGGCTGTGGTGATCATAAAGACGGAAAGATCGCTGTAATTCATTACAAACATGCACTGATTTAAAAATTATTTAAACTTGTAAAACTCATTCTTGATCACATTTTAAGATGATTGATGATCACATTGCTGAACAGATCTTTTAATCCCAGTTGCTTTGCACACATCCTGTTTTGTTGATATGATTATATGCGTTACTACGGAGACATGTTAATGTGCGGCTGTTTATCAATTTGGTGGGTGTATATATATATATATATATATATATATATATATATATATATATATATATATATATATATATATACACACATGTACATACAAGCTGTATAGACTTCAATTCTAGTTGTCATGTTGTGGTATGGACCAGAAAGTGTTTGGTTATCAACACAGAGGGGAAAAAAAACTCCTACAGTATTGGAAAAAAATAAATCTGATTAAATGATGACCGATTTCTAAATTTATTTCTAAAGGTCTGGAATGTACAGTGTTTTTAAAAATAAACTTATATCTCACGATCTCATCTCTCTTCAAAAGATCCTACTTCCCTTTGAACCTGTATTGTGTAGGTGACGAGTTGACACATTTACACATTGAACAACATCCTGGCTGGACTGAAAGGTCACCAGCCTCTTGATAAAGGTTTATGTTTCTGGGACTGTAGCTTTCTTTGTGTGGTCTAAACAGTGAAATATTGTTGCACAAACGTGTTCAAGCTGTGTGTGGGGCAGGGACGAGTATGCTTGTGTGACCTGTGACCTGTCTTCCTCTCAGCGCGCATCTGAAGGAAGTTCGGCCTGTGTTTAGCCCACACAGACAGGAAATCATGTAGTGCAGAGGGAAGTTGTAGGGCCGTAAAGTTGTTTTAGATGTTGTGACCTTTTTGACCTCCGCTCATGATGCAACGTCCTCCTTTCCTTTATTGGAAAACACAGCTGAAGTGTTTATGTGTTTATCCATAAAGGGAAAGTGACTGTCTAAAGAATGCACCGTATGCATCTGTTTGTCTATGTGTGTATCCTCTTTACTTTTGGAAACACCTGCATGCACTCTAAACACT